GGTAGAACATTAAAGAGTTCATTTTTTAATGTTTACAATCTTTCAATGAAGCAGAAAATCTAATTTTGGTGCAAGAGTGAATAAATTCATATGTTCGCAACTGATATGTAGCTTCTGACAAAGTAGTTTTGCTTGTCAAGAGATAAGATCTCAACTGTTTTAAAATTTGTAATGCAAAAAACCTCTCTCATGACTATCATGGCCATGTATTTGACCTTCATTTTTTCCATGCCTGAATATCAATGTTGAGTCTGAATATGTTAACCAATAACAATTCAATTCATTATAGGTATGATCTTTTATCACTTCTTGAAGATTTTAACAAAAACATGTTGCCCTTATGAAACTTAAAATTGTCTAAATTAGTAAGGCATGTATAACTGTAAAAAGCAATAAATGCCACGAGTGAATGAAAAATTAATAAATAGATAAACAGTGTATGGAGTTAATTGGAAGTGTTAATGATTAACATAATAGATTAATTAAAGGGTATGGTACAGGTTAATTAATATCACCCCAGTCAATTAATGATGGTAATTTAGTGTAAAACTGGGGACCTGTCAAAGTTGGACAACATTGTTAAGATTAGATGTAATCTTGATAATATAACAATATTCCTTCTCATTAATATTAACAAGCCTTATATAATATCATGATAATTAGTACCATCTGGGATTAACTTTCCCACATCACATCACAGTTAGTAACAGTCTGTCTGCTCCAAGAGCATGCTAAACCAGATATATTCAATGAAATTACTGACTTTGATCATGTATCTAAATATTTGAATATCAACTTCAGTAATAAGGTCAACTTCATCTTATGTTCAAAACACCTGATAGTACTTCTCTAGGAGTATTACACAACTTTTACTCACAAATTTGCTATACTTTGGACAATATTTTTTTTTTTACGGAATTGTCTTGCTTGTATTGAAAATCAAAAGTTATTCTGGTCATTGATTTATACTTTCTCCCACATTTTTGCAAATATGTTCATAATATCCCAGACAGAAATCAGAATGCCTTTGATGTGTTCCAATATTACCAATCAAACAATAACCCACTGGATATTACAGGCTACAAGGATATTAAATAACACAAGACAACAGACAGCCATGTTTTCTAATTAACTATCAAAGAATTAACATCATGTGGTTTGTAGGCCAGTGTTTACTAATCATAACATTGTGTTGTTTATCAACAAATATCTTGTTAATCTTTCTTATCATACTGTCATCTTTAAATAGTCAACATGACAGTTAACAAATTGTTAGAATATTCAGAATGATCAAAAGAGTGTTATTTTTAAGAAAACATTATCACTGAGCACTGTTATTTTGACATAAAGGACATATTTTAATAGAATTTCAGATTGGAACTTTGTCACTAACATATTATAATATTACATAGCCTGTTAGCTATATATATCTATCACTTTGGTGTCATTTGACTTAAAAAATCTTATGGTTGCCTAAGGACAAAACTTAGATAAAAGTCCATCAAAGTCCATTGGATCTTCTGCATGTAATATTCTGTTTTTCACTTCTAACATTTGTGGACCCTGTTATTCAATAAAAACATGACCAGATATGAGGTTACTATGGCAAATGTCATCTTGTATATCTTAAAATTTACAAACATTTCCTTTCATTCATATAAGAATTTAAATTGAAAGATGAAACAGAAAAATTCTGACAGAAGTTTGTAGTAGTAATGAAAATGAATTATATCAATAATTAATATGTGTTAACAATAGACACTCATGGGTGTGAATAAAATTCAAAGAGTTGCTTCATACATCTTAAATTGAAATAACTTAAAAGTTACTTCAAAACCAGTGTCAGTAACACTGATACTTCTTTACCACAAGAATATATCATCAACTACTTACCACCCCCCATTTAGTCAGTCAGTTCAAGACTTGTCATAGTGCTAATATTACATAACAAAGGATATGAAAATCTCAAGATGATCCTATTGTATATTCTACTTAGAAGGTTAATACAAATTGGTGCAGACACCAGTATTTAGGTGATTTAGACAGTACAGATAATATAATACGTGGGTAATAAACTAGAATAATATGAAATGAATAAGTCTGGCCATATTAATATTATATCATACAGAAAGTGTTATCAAGGGAATCCAAGACTTAAATCCTACTCATATATATACTTCAGCTTGAACATTTATTCTGCAAAATTGGTCATCCTTGATTTAGCACAAGGTCATTTTTCCATTTAAATCTAACTCAATACTACTTGCAAGTGATTCGAATATAAGTTTGGAAATGGAGATTGACCTAGGATGTTTAGCATGTGGACAAATTAAACAAAGTAATGTTCTTTGGGGATGTATGTCCTATGTGAATTCCATTTTCCCATTGTTTGATAGAAATTTTTGTTATCATGTTCAGGTATTATGTTTTGAAACCTAGAATTACTCATAAAGTTTAGAGTTAACATTTAAAGCAGTCTTATCAAGTAAAATTTTGGAAAATATTGGATAAATTCTGAACTCTGACATATTTTTGATTTGATTGAAGTATTATTACAGAAGTCAATATGACGATAAATAACCTATCATTATCAGAGTTTCTAGTTTCACAAATAATAATCACTTGTTTCCGTGTACAGAATAATAATTGATCACTGATAGCGAAAGACTGTTTATCAATCCATCTATCTTGTTCACCTTCAATTATCATTTAAAAATCTCCACGGAACATTTCACCATTTAAAATTTTCAAAAGTGAAGTTGACTGAAATTGGACAGTTAGCAAAATCAAATGTAACATCTGCTCATAGATACAATACATTACTGAAAACTTGACTGCTGATTGCCATGATATTTGGGAGATACAGGGATTAAGATTGTCAATATATCAACAGAAGGTGGTTTGATAATGTAATCATCAACCATGAATATTTCAGCTGCAATAATTTTAATTTGAAATTGCAGGATGTCTGGTAATCTTATCATAGTTTGCAGCCCCCGTTTAGTTGTCATCATCACCAATCAATAGGTATATTGAGTAACCTGGTTACCAGAAGATAAATAATACACTAGCAGATTATATTAGATGACAATTTAAGTTTAACATTGAAAAAAAAAATCAATATTAAACATATTAATTATAGATATCAAATCTTTTACTGTTATTAACTTTCTTTTACTGACACAACTATTATACACTTAACCTACATAAAGTCAAAATAATTATCATTGACTTAACTTAGTCGATATATACTATAGTCACAGACTTTATCTAGTCTACATAATTATCATCAACTTTACCTAGTCATGTAATAGTCTATATAATTATCACTGACTTCACCCAGTATACATCTATTCTATAAAACTCTTAAACTGACCTAGTCTACATAATTATCATTAACTTTACTTAGTCTACATCAAACTTTACCTAGTCTACATAATTATCATCAACTTTACTTAGTCTACATAATTATCATCAACTTTACCTAGCCTACCTTATTATTATCAACTTTACCTAGTCTACATAAGTATTATCAACTTTACTTAGTCTATTTCATTATTATCAACTTTACCTATAGTCTACATCACAAACTTCACCTAGTCTACATGATTATCATCAACTTTACCTAGTCTACATAATTATCATCAACTTTACCTAGTCTACATAATTATCATCAACTTTACTTAGTCTACATCAAACTTTACCTAGCCTACCTTATTATTATCAACTTTACCTAGTCTACATAATTATCATCAACTTTACTTAGTCTACATCACAAACTTTACCTAGTCTACATAATTATCATTAACTTTACCTAGTCTACATAATTATCATCAACTTTACCTAGTCTACATAATTATCATCAACTTTACCAAATATATCATAATGCAATTAGAATAAAATATCAGAATTAGGAAAGTCAAGTGGTTAATTATGTGATTAATATAGAAATAATAAATCAATTAATAAAATCTAATCAGTAATTGGCATTACCATTAATCTACATTATTTTTTTAATATTTCATAATTTTTCAACAATAACCCTGTTCTGTTTTTTATTTATTTATTTTAATAAAAAAATTATAATTTTTTTCCAAACCTATCATCCTGGGATGCTTTTCTTCATGAAATCAAAAAGTGTTCACTATTAAAATCAGTTGTCCTTTTCCTTTTATATTTCACACACTTTTATACAATATGTTTTTTGTTGTTGTGAATGGTAATGATCAGATAGATTGTTTGATCATAATTGTCCACAAAACCTAATAAGTAAAGACAAACTCATAATGGAACCCACTGGGGTATCTCAGGGAAAATAAACATAAAATAAGCCCAATACAATCTATATATTGCATCCAGCACTTACACTACACCAATCCCAGTTTTAGCAGCATTGAAACCTTTCCAGAGCATGATTCAATGAATTTTTTATCAATTATGGCATGTATGTAGATAATTAGTTCATGTAGAATAAATCATTAATGTATATGAATTAATTGATATCAAGTATTAACAGGTGTAAAGGGGTGGTAATACATGTAATATATAGGTTTGGCATGTGATATATGGTTTTGTTCATGTAGCTGAAAATCAAATCAAAATTATTGTCTTTATAAGCCTAAAAATATTTGGTCTTGATCTACATTCCACAGTTTAAATTATTCATAAGGGGAACTGTTTTTGTAAAACTGAATCATGCAATAGTAAAATCATGCTGATACTGAACAGTTGTATTCAATATATCAAATTGAAAATGCAATCACTACAAGCAGTATTACTACAAATTTCACTACAATGTATATTGCAGTAACAAAAAAGACTAAACTGTCCTCATTTTTGCAGTCAAAATATAATGAAAAACAAATTAAACAAAAGATAACAGGGAAGAAAGTTGGATTAAGGAGAAAAAAGATAAAGTGCTATCAAAATTTCAGTGTTGAAAATGTAAAATGAAACAGATCTTCTTTTAATTTTTGGAGAAACATTGATATGGTACAAACCTAATTCACCAGTGGTAACTTGGGTGGATTTACTGGGGGAACTTCTGCCTATATCATTCACTGCTACTATTCGTATATTGTAAGTTGTATAGGCTTTCAGATGATTTAAAATATATTCAGTTTGTCCAATATTGGTTTTCTCTTTATATCTATTCCCTTGTTCTGTATTTATTTTATATTGAACAACATATGACAAAACACTTCGAGGGTTGGGGTTTTCCCACATCAATTTTACAGAAGTTGCCGTTATCTCGGAAGCAGTGAGTTGTACAGGCGGGCTGGGAGTTGCTGCAGAGGAACATGGTACCAAGAATATTAGTAATATACTATAAATAACATAAATATTCCATGTGGAAGTGGTGTAGTGGTGCCAACGCGAAAGACTGCTGATGTGGTGCTGAAGAACGGCCATGCTGCTTTATTTTGGCAGAAGGAATAATTATAGCATCCTACTGATAGATGTTTCTAATACAGTGGTGTTGTAGATAGAAGAAATCCAAAAAGTGAGCGATGGAAGTCAAAGAGTTAGTAGCAACTAATAATTGTGTTCGGAGAGTTGAAAATAAAATAATGTCACTACTGCTGTGAATAGATACACACATTAACTATTATCACATGTAAGTCTACTGTTAAAATAATCTCTTATTATGTCACATCCTGTTTGACGGTGCTATAATGGGTGCCAAACATTCACTAATAATCCTATTTCCTATGTAGTTAACACAAATATCAAACAGTACTTGTCAATTCACACAATATTTTCTAGGTTAATTGTAAAAGTTGTAAGATAAATCCCAAGGTAGCCAATATCCTGTCAAAACTATACAGGTAAAAATAATCAATCTATTTTCCACGATACGTTCTCAATAAATTCTCCAATTAAACTGTAATCAATGAGACTTTAGCTAGGTATTATAGAATATCACACTTATTCTCCAGTATTGTATACAGGCAACTGAATTACAACTCTTGTGGTATTAACTTATATTAGAACCTATACAACCAGGCATTAAGAAGCCATATGCAAACTGACTTTACCAGTTCCAACATAGAATGCTATAGAATTACTTATTTTGAAGCCAAGATAAGCATGTAGTCTATTACAGAAAGGAGAGGAGTGTTGATTGGCTGAAGTCATTTTCAATATTTGTATGAGCTATTTTGATTGGTCATTTATGTTGGGTTCAACCATTTGGTTATACCTCCTTTAATATCTGGTAGCTATGGTAACGAATGTAGTATTATCGTGTAAGATGTTATAAGTAGTGTATTTATTTATGTTCATAGTTTTCCTAACTTGCTTTCTGTGTTCAGTCTTTCATCGAAAATGTAAGCAATGCTCGATTCCATAGGGAGAGGGAGATATCAAATAAAATACAATTCAAAGCCAACTGAAGAGAATGTGCAGAAAATGGAAATAAATAGAGAGTTCATGCATGAATTTCTCAAAGGATTAAACTGATATAAAACAGACATGCAAATAAAAAAAAAATGAACTGAATGTGATGACATCATGCAGAGTTAGTAGATAATTAAAATTAATATCATTATCATCACTTTAATTATTAAACATTATCAAAGAAATCATTCATCCAAATGTAGGCTGTGAGTAATCAATGAGAATTGTTCCAGATCTCTATCATCAGTGATAAACTATGACAGTCATTTTACTCTCTCATACAGCCAGTGTATAATTTCACCATGAACAAAAATTACAAAACAAAATACTTAATGTACCTGACAAAATAATTAGCAAGATGCAAATGCCACCATTACAACATGTTCACTTTGATCAAGCATACTCCAAATCCATTGTTACGAAAACAAAAATATTATCTTACCTTCAACAATGACTTTTGCAATGCTTTCAATATTTCCCAGATCAGATGAAGCTACACAAGTATAATTCTTTGATTCCCGCACATCTTCTAACTGAAGAATGTTCCTGCCAATAGGTAGATCTTCCTCTGGTGTCAATTCTTCTGCACCTTGCCTCCACTTGACATAGGGCATAGGTGAGCCAACAGCAACACAGGTCAAATTGACGTCTGCTCCAGGTAAAACTTTGGTATCTTCTGGTGGAATTGAGAAATGAGGTGGGACTCTTCGTACTGAAATGATAAATGACAGAAAATCATATTAACATTGCTCAATTTGCTAATAGAAAGAGTTTGAAAGATAAATGAGAAGTCAAGAACCTGTGTTGAGAAGTCAAGACTTCAGAAACTGTGTTGAGAAGTCAAGACTTCAGAACCTATGTCGAGAAGTCAAGACTTCATTCATACACAAATATTATATGGTTCTTCTTTCTTATTTTAATTCAAGAGGTGAGGATGGATGTTTTTTCATTTATTTGATAAATTGTGACCAGTCCTCAAAGATACCGAACAAATCAACTATTTTAAAGATTCATTTTTTCACTTCATTTTTGGGTAATTATAGAGAGATATTGCAGTAATCTCCAAATGATATCAATGCAGGCTTTTCTGTTTATCACAATTAAATGTGTACATTTTTTTAACTCAGAAATTTTGTGTTTTGATGTACGACGACCAAAACTTAAAAATAATTGCACATATGACTTTGAATTACATATTAGACACATGTGTTAAATTATTTAATAAACCTGGTAGGTGAAGGTCAGGAGATTACCTTCTGTTTATATTAGTTTCTATTAAAATAATAAGATTTTAACCAGTACAGGTATCATTAATCAATATAACATTGGTGTTTATACCACCCACATAGTTTTATAATCTTTACACTTTCAAAATGACTGATTACCCTTTTTTACTTACAAACTTCTTATATTTAAGCTTCTTAAATTATAAACTAATTTCATTCTTAATCCTCATATTCTAATACAAGAACAGTTTTCTTTATTATGGGTTAATAATTAAAAGATTGCATTTAAATAATAACCAAATCTGTATACTTAAAATTTCTATTGAAGGAATATAAGTGGGCTCATATCAATTGGTGATTTTTAGGACAGAATCAAATTTCTTGAATAATAATTTGTTCTCTCTTGCAAATCTGAAATTTGTTTTTATTTTTTTAGATAAGCACTTCCACATTGAAGATTTTCTGGCCTGCATTGATTAGCTGACTGTTTGAGTTGAAGAGAAAGAGGAATTTTTCTAGCATTAAGGCAGGTCGAACTTACAGCACCAAATGAATCAATTGTACTGGATTGTCTGATAAAATAGCAAAACTTGTTAATAGATATCAAAAAATTTTGTTAATGAGAATAGAGTTCCCCTTGGAACATTTACCTCAAGTACCCAGACTTCAACTAAGTACATTAAATATAATATTGTCTGCAAACAATATGGCAACAGACAAAGTAAAATATACCAGACATAAATTCTGGAATATCAAATAGACAAATTTATGATAGGTAAAACAATTTTTGATCATATATTAAGATAAGCGAAGAGTTTAATTAGCAAATCAATTTATCTTATATCTAGACCTCTTCTATTTCATAACACACATCTTCAGATATACAAAAATACCATAACAGGTGAAATTCAAACCTAACCAAATGGTCTGTTAACTGATGACCTTAGATCAGGCAACCACAAAGTTCAACCAAGAAATAGTTATGGCTATTTCAAATAGCAACCTTTTACTCATGATAAAACAAATGCTGTTTCAGTCAAAATTTCTTTGTGGAAAACATAAGCCTCAGATGGCTAGGACCCAGATCAGCTCATGATAGAATTACATTGCAGTTAAATCAGCTCGTCTCAGAACAGTTTTTTTATCTTTGAGAAAATAAAAACCATTCTTGGAACGCTTTATTTTGGAATTCTTGTTAAAGAAATTTATGTCAATTAAAATCCAGTGGGAAACAATTGCAAGTTTAAAAATCAGGCCTTCCCTTTGGAAAATATATAATTTGTAATCTATGTTGTTAAAATGTTGTCTGTAGACACTGATTTGTTTAAAGATAATCTAAGATATTAGATTAGTTGTTCACACTACATAATCTTTATATTGTACATGATTTGAAGTATCATTTTACTTACTAATAACAAACAACGTAAAAATAATATGGAAATCTTCTATTTGAAGGTGATTTAGTTTGTTCTGAATGTAACTTTGCGAAAAGGTCATTCACAAATCGCATTTTTTTTTTCACTGCAATTCAACCACAATCTTAATTATTTTAATATCAGTAATGAAAGAATAATATACATAATAAACCTTAATTACTTTATAAATAATTACATAAACAATTACTAATTGTTATTTAGTTATTAATTTGGCAGGTTGTCAAATGTTGTCATGCTAATTGTCTTGACACCAAGGACTATTTACATGTGTTTATGACCTATTAAGACAAAATCTGTGGGGTACAAGATAAATCCCATGGAGGAAGGTTAGAACTCTCCTGACAGAAGTGGCATGCTTGGTGAAGAGGAAGTGACCTCACCTCCATGACTTATAAGTCATAAATAGTAATTGCATGCTAGTCTGTCCTGCTATGCCATATGAATAGCTAGGCAATAAAACATAAATCAAATCTTAATTCACATAAATTTGAAATTGTAAATCTGAGATGTCAAAAGTTGCATGTGAATTTTTCAATGCATCATGGAATATGTTTAATATTTCCTTGTTATCAAATACAGTTGTGTTTTTCATATCAAAATTATGTCTAAAACCTTAATCAACCTTTATTTTTGAAAACTATATTCATACACCTAGTGAAACGAAAAAAAAGAAACAATATCAAGAAATTTGGTGATCAAATTTAAACATAATTGGGTGTACAGATTACAGATACGCCCACTTTCCTGATACATTTTCAGTATATCAAGGGTGGTCACTAATCTGTGCGTCAAAGGCAATAACTCAAATTCCATTGATTGAAAAATCGTCAAATTCAATCTTGACTAAGATCTCATCATTATATTGTGGGCATATAAAAAAGGTTTCCAAAAAGTTATCAAATTTATTTTTTAGCTGCTACACTAATTGACTTAATGAATTAATTATCAAAGATATAAATTATATTAAAGGTGAAAGTTTAAGTGAAATCTGTTAATTCTTATCATATTTATTACGTTAACTGTATATAACTTCTATTGTTTGATAATCACCAGTTATTTCACACTATATTTCAGTATTTTAACCTCTCACAATGTACCCCTTACACAATTCTACTTATTTTTTCTAGACGCAAAGCTTAGCAAGAATGGTAGACAGCATTACTAAGTAATTTCAATAACATTTTCAACCACCCACATAGAAAATGTGATCAATGCTATACATATTGCATATATATCAAACCAACTATCTCCATTTGAATAACCAGCATTTTATAAAATTGTTATTCAAAATTACAACCATTGTTCATGTTATATATATCTTATCAAAAATATCTTATTGCTTTGAAAAACAGCAATTTACTAATTAACAGATTGAGAAGGGAGGAGAAATAGTAGAGCAAATTTATTCATGCTGGAATGTGTAAGTACAGATAAGGGAAGGGAAGATTTTGGATTAACAATTTGGTTAAGTAATGGTTCTGGGTGGGTGTCCCTAGAAGTCAGTACACTCGTTTGGGCAGCCTTGGTGTCTGACTGTTTTCTGTTTTCCAGTAGACTTACAGGCAGTCTGCTCATTACTAGTATACTAAGCTGAAAGAGTTCAACTTTGAAATATTTGGAATTTGAGTTTGCCCTGACTTCTCTAGTAAGTTCATTAGACAATTAGTTAGTTGATATTTGTAGAAGATTACACTACTGTCTTATCTATTGTGTTAATTTCAAGGGTCATAGATTATTTCAATCTTCAGATTATATAAATTACATATCAAGGTGGAGAACACATGTGCAACAAATGATAAAACTTAATTATACATTGAATTAACTTTCATATTTCACAAGAAAATAATACTGATAGCTTCTATTTTGGATAAATTCACTTTCTACTTTTTTGATATAAAATTTTTACAAAATTTCTTCTAATAGGGAGTATCTAACACCTAGCCCATGCTTTCTATGAGTTAAATTCTCATTTCACTTTAACACCTACTTCTTGTGGAATAGCTAAATTGGTAGCTTCTTGGATTGTCATTTGCCAGGTGACTAAGTGCCAAGGTTTACAAAGTTAACTTGCAATATAAATCATTCAACCTAAGACTTCAAAGTTTCAACTGATTACACCTGCAAGCTTTTGTATTTAAATGAGCACTGCAAACAAGGTATTACTACATGAATATTATGTAGACAAAGAATAAAATGTAGTTAATCACCAAGTAAAAGAATGTGAGGTATTTTAACTAATTAGTTAATCATAATATATACATATTTCTATTGTAAATACAATATTCTATATAATCATTAACCATACTTCTAATTAAAATATTTCATCATTAACTTTACTATATAGTTGAAAAATTGATTAGTACTATTTCACCTACTAATAAACTAAGAATGTCCTCTAAACCTATTGATTTTATTATTTGAAATATAATATAACCTTTTTGTTAATTATTTCAGAAATGACTTATAATGGATAATTAGTGCAGAGTTTGTTAGAAGTCAAAATCATAATTAAGCAAAAAATATGACAAAACTATCAATAATTAAAGAATAATGAAAAAGAAAATCAGTAAATATCGATATATAATAATACAATTAGTACAAAGTGTTAGTTAAGTCACATCTAAATGATGAAATTCTTAAAAGAAATTTTCACTGTCATTGTTAACTTTTTGTGACCGAGGACATTGAAAGACCCACATACTTCAGAATGATTTTAGCATTCAACGCTCAAAAGATTGATAAATTTGAAAAGATGAAACAATGGCAAACTTTTCAAACTACATCCATTTAAGTTATGATTAATTTTTGAGTGAGATTTTCTTATGTCTTTGATGTATAACTTAGTGAAAAAATTGATCAAAATGATTCTTCTTTAATATACTTGAATGAAAATTTGAATGGAAACGAAATTTGTTCCATTCTGTTGCCCTGTGCCTTTTTTTTGGTTCAGTAGTGAAGATATATAGATAAAAGAAATTAAGACTATTGATATCTAAATACCATCTAATTCTTCTGTAGTAACACTTTTCTGTGACTATTTTAGCAATATGGTCAAATCTCACTTTTTAGCTTGCTATTAAAAATGGTACATTGTAACCTCTTTATTTTAGGAATCTGTGCCAATAAGATACATTCTTTTTACCCAAAATAAAAATTGATTAAGATAATAGACTAGGTTGATTTACATACTAGCTGTTACAGTGATAAGAAAATAATCTAGAAAACAAGATGTGCTACTCCAATTTTAATGTTGTCTTAAAAAGAACCAGCTACAAATTGTTCAGTTAACATGATCAGTTTAAAGAATTACAATCAATTCCATGAAAACAGAAAAAATGTCATTTCAGCTAGACACAGTATTTATATAATTTAGTCTTACGCCTGAAAATCTTCACGTGCTATGCTATCAAATTTCCTATTCAAATTCAAATGTTAATCATTTATTGCATGTATACATGTATAATATTATTTCATTGCATAGTATAGTTTAGAAACAAATTCAGGGAAGACAATTTTTACACGGTTCACTGTCATATGAATTTTCTTTTGAATCCAAATCTTCAAATATTAATCTTTTCGTCGCATAAATATTTTTAATCGCTGCATGCATAATTAACTGTAAAAAGAGAGAAGCAAGTGCACATATTCCTGAAATAGTTCTGATCAAAATCTGTTCTGAAAAAATTCCAATAAAACTGCAAGGCGCCTGTAGGTATAATAAATTCTCCATAGTTGAACCATGATAAATTTAATGGAGTTTGAAAAACTTTTGTAGTAAACAAAAACTTAAACTATTAAAAACAGTTAGAGGTATTGTATTGTTGCCAAAACAACCATTCTGATTTCTTTAACATGTTTTAACTTCTACTCTTTAGAATAAATCTTACAATATAGCAAGAGATGATAGTGTTAAGGGGATTGTTGGCAATATTTCTACAATAGTTAATAAATCTGTTAAGGAAAAAGAAAATATAGTGACCACCAACAGTTGTTGTGATTTAACTTAATGTCAAACTAGCTGTTATCTTGTACACTATAACTATTATCAAATAACCACACCTATAGATTGTATTTTAAGCTAGATTTTTGTAATTTTACTACTAATGCAATTTGAGAGTAAGAAAATGAATGGAGTTTGAGATCTTACTTTTCTGCACCTAATGTCATTCAGTGTGAAATAACAGAAATTTTACTCTACTCCTTTACAATTTCAAATTGAGCCCAAATTATCCAAAGGATCCAAACCAGTTTTATACAATCATGGTTAGTTCAGTCAAAACTTTAACTGAACATATATAGCCATGTTTGTTGATTTGCATATCTTTAATAAACAGAACAGATGTGGTTTTGAAAGAGATTTCAACTGAAGAAAAGCTTTTATAAATCTTGAAAAGTCACAAGAAAAGATTGTCATATTTTGGATCCCATGACTGTTACTAATATCCAGAATTTTTTAATGGAAATGACCTCACTGTATCTAACCAAAATTTCTAAATCACACATGAACTTTCAATCTACCAAATTCAATATCTGAGTATAGAATGTAATCATGAATTCAGCCACAATCTTAAAATAAGTTTATCATAAAAAATATGTGGAGGAAAAACTGTCTGATAAACTGATAAAAAAAACCTGATAAATACAACTCAAATTTCATCAAAATCTAAAAATAAATACAGATAGTTCATTTTGAGTGGCAGTTACAATTTTAGGATAGAAAATGATAAATATGACCTAAAAGTCTGAACAAAGGACTTCTACAATCAGCAGACAAATTTTTTTTTCAATTTCATGCCAACCACATTAAATGTTGTATGAATTACATTTAACTACCAAGATTTTAATGGAATGTACTCCATCTTATTGAGATACCTTCTTAATTTAGGTCTGGATGTCAAAGTCTATGTTTTCCAACAGAGTTCTAGAACACAACCCTGTGGAAGCCAAAAGGAATTAGCCAATAGAAAAAATCTCCACTCTCATTTTTATCAAGAATCGTTACCATGCAATGTGATATTAGAAAATTTCAGCTGCATTATCCCAATAAAGCGCAGACCTAAAAAACACAGGGCACTGTCCTATCTGAATGTTTGAAAAACTGGATGAAAAGTCCAAAGATAATATCTTAGTTTATGTCAAAATGGAACCCTGGAGGAAGGAAATCAGTATAAGAATGTTAAAGATATACAATATATAGGTACCGGTATGTGTATTAATATTATTTACAGACTAATGACTATATCATATAGGTACAACTAATCATAGCTTATAGTTCTTACTACTATCATTTCATCACCTTGATATTAATATACCTTCTATCAACAATAATAATATTCTCACATAACATAATCAATTGATTTCTACTGTTCACTGACTTCATTTTACTCTATTTCTATTAATTATGTAGGGAATTAGGTCATACAATGTTTTTCTTAATTAGAATTTGTATAAAAGCATCCTTCCTCCTATATATCACATAGGAAACACCTTACCTAAACTCAAGTTCATATTCTCCCTTTGAAGATTTTTGCAGCCCACAAACTTACCCTTTGAAATAAAAGAAGGCAGCATGATTGATAGTCTGAGAAGATTAACATTATTTAATTGTTATATATTATTGTAAACAACTAGTCAGATATTATTTACTATAACAAGAAACAGTTGTTTGTTTGTCTTAATTAATATTATAAAATAATAACAGATACACCAGTTTCTTATTATCATTCTTTTACTCATAATTTACTTGTCACTTTAAGAGAACTTACAATTAATGATACTGAAACTTAATAATTTATTATATGTCAGTGTGTGTGTACTGGTTAACATAAAACATGTAACAAAAGTTTCGAAAGAATATTATGGTAAACAATTTTTGAAAATAGGACCGTTTTAGTTCCTTTGACCAAAAAAAGAAGAAAGATTTCATAATACAAAAATTGATAAACCTTAATCACAAAATATTATGCTCCCTTCATCTCCTCAGTCTGTATTCTAAAATCATTTTACTTGAATACCTCAGATCATGGCCTATAATTTTTTTTAAAAAACTTTTCAAAATATAGTTCTTGCTTCATAAACTAGGTCTCTGATGTTTTTATGAAAAGTGTCTTATTTTACTTGAATACCTCATGACTAAGGTATATATTTTGGAAGTCACTAATATTCTCATTTCATCTAAACATTAAAGAATTAAACAGGTAGAAAAAGTGTAGATTATACACTAGTTAACACATTCTATCTATCAACACTATTGTAATATAAAAACTGTAATTAGTATTACAGTATATCTACTTGTAGACAGATATTACAGCTTCATTCTTTCTTTATTTCAAAATTACCTTCTTTTAACTCTTGTTTCTGTTTTTTCCTGTGCATCAGATATCTTTGATGTTTGTGAAGTAATTCACTTTGGAGTTGTAGAAAAGAAAAGATTATTTTATTGATGTTAGTCTTGCTTTTTGTGTATTTACAATTAAAATATGGAATAATTTTTTCACTCCAAAAAGATTTTTTTTTTAGTGTTCTTACTGTTTACTAAATTATGTTTTTGTTTACTAAATTTTTGATCTTCAAAATATAGAATACATTTATGTCCTTAACCACTAAGATGTGCACATAAAATACAATTTGAATGAAGTGAACCATTTAAGGGTTAACTCTGGGTATTATTTACAACAACATCTCTTTGCAGCCATTTTGATCAGTCTACCCAGCTATAAATGGATATGGTACTGATTAACTGGCAAATATCAATGACAAGAGGTTTGGCAAAGGATCACATGATAGAAAAGATCTTATGTGAACGGAAGTTGTTATACTGTTAAAAAAACCGTTGCTTCTTTCTTTCTACCTTTTACATGTTGATCTTTGTTTATAACATTTATTTTTTTAAAATGATGAAAAATTTAGAATTTGTAATGACCTAATATGATTGATAGTTAACGCCTAATATACTCAGTGCATGAACACAGCATGTTTTCTTGGTGCACCACAGATTATGTTTGTTTATACTTGTCTTCAAACAAAATATACTGCTTTTCATTTCAAATATTTAAAGAAGATAAATTATAATCATAGTAAGATTATTTATCAGTAATAGAAGTTAATAGTTTTGTCTGTATTTTCATTCTAATGTTTGGATTATTTGGTTTATCAACATATTTTTTTTCACTAGTGCTATGGAATATAAAGAATATAATATAACAGGTGTTAAGATAAGAGTTAACACCAGTCATGTAAATTCATCTTGTCTTATCTCTCAAATATCTTTACCTCTCAACAGATTCACATTTAACTTGGGGAGCCTTATTTTTTTTATACTTTATATAATAATATTGTTTTCTTAGAACATAACAGTTTTGAACTTCTTATATCATAAATCTTATGTTCTGAATATATGCCCGATATATTGATGAGGGCACACAAAATTATTACAAAACTTTGGATGTCCGAAGTTCAAAGTAAATTCTTACCTTTTACATACAGCATAGCAGCATAGGAATAAGCCACACCCACATCATTTTCAGCAACACATTCATATTTCCCTGCATCTTGTTCTTGACTTAATTTAATTTGTAAATAACCTGAAATAGTTTGAAAAATGTTTACATTATATAATCTTCATTAATCTAAGAGCTAGGGAAATATTTCTGTTCATAATAAATCTATATTAGGTATTCTGAGATATATCTCCCGATTCTTCTGGATATTTTCTAGCTATATCGGGCTTTAGGAAGCTCTGTAAATGTTACCATTAAAAGGATTTCTTTGATTCACACTGAATTCACAGCCTTAACACATGTCTGAAGCTACATTCAATGTCAAAATTATTATGAAATGAAATGCAATAAGTCGTAATTGGGCTAATGAAGATTTAGGTATGTAAGGGAAAAGGAAAGCTAAATTAGCCAAAAGTTCTGCTCATATTCGATTCAAGGAGTACAGTATAGTAATGATCTTATAATTGATATATTAAAGTTACCTGAATCTAATAATGTTATTCTAGGATCACTCATATCTACAGGTAGATAGTCCTTTAACCAATATACTGTAGGTTCTGGATTGCCCTCTACTTCACATTTCATTAAAGCATTGTGACCCTTTTCTACAGATTTAAGACTAGGATTAACTACAATACGTGGATAACCAACTGGAATATCTGAAATTTAGATTAAAAATAAGATTACAAAGTTGTTACAAACACAATCCATGCATTTCTTCAAAACAACTTATGTTAAATATATATTGACATTGTATGCAGACATAAAGTTTTCATATTTACATAAAACAGACAGAACACGGTTTGTTTTTAAAAACAAACAATTAAGACAACTTTTCTCTTTACTGAGATTCATTATATACATTACAACCACACTATAATGTATGGTATAGACAATTCAAATGACAAAAGGGAGAAAACTCTATTTAACAAAATTGTAGTTATCTCCCTTTATATAGTTTAAATTCAAACAGAATTATACCAGCAGATATGGAAAGAAAAGGTGCAGAAGACCAAAAGAAACAGAAAAACCTGTACACAAGATAAAGTAAAAATTCCTTAGAAAAAATCAGAATTACAGATATGACAAAATGAAAAACAATTCAATAAAATCTGAAAATCTTTAGCTCTGTTGAAACATTGCCTTGTTCATATATATATATTGAATATCATTAAATGACACAGAATTCTTAAAATTATAACAATTTTCTTTTGTTTAGTATATCAAAAATGTTTTTTAGTAGTGAAGCAAACACTCACTCAAGCGTTTCTATTGGAGTCATGCAATGCTTTAGTTTTTATCTAGCCTTGAGATATAGCTGCAAGTTGTGTTTTCAGCAGGACCAAGATTTGACATAATTGTGTACATATAACTTTGATCAAGCAAGAACAGAAAATTTTGGCTTTTTTTCAGTTTTTTTCTCTCTCTTAAGATCTGCATTGTAAATTCTAGTGGATAATGTAGCCAACCACTCTTTATAAATAATCAGTTTTCTGTTCCAGCTTTATTAAACTAAATATATCTCCAAAAACACACACCGTGGAGAGACCTAGTCATCAACAAGACGACTAATGTAGACAAGGACAAAACAATAACGATTGTTTATAAACAAAAAATACACACAACATTCCAAACAGAATAAGACAAACTAAAACATTAGGAATCTAGGTTGAATTTTAATGTTGTGTTTTAAAGTTTGCCAGGTTAAACAATTTCTGCAGCAAATTAGATAAAAGCGAAACAGGAATAAGGGGTCTACATTGAGGGTTGTAAATTGGGAGCAAAAAGACAAGAAAAATGGGGATCATGTCAAATAAAACACACTGTAATTTTTACCTTCATATTTGACTACCCATGGATTTGAACCTAAATTTTGATAAAATAATACATAAATTTAATGATATATATGTATAACTATTTCTCAAATTGATGATACAAATTGTCATGCATGAAATCCTATTGTTTTTACTCAAACAAAACACAAAAAGACAGCACAACTTTAACATAATAGATCTAGTTACTATCTCTACTGAGCAAAAATAAATGGTGTTGAAGCTCCTCACAGAAAATTGATTTGGTCACTTCAGTTCGACATCACTGCTAAATATATAGGCTACTGAAATCAACAGCTCTTTAATTGAAATATTTAAATTGGAGTTTAGTGTTCCAATGTGTGCAAAGAAATTCGATTCGAAATGTCAAAGTGAAAATAATCTAACATTTAAATGTAGCGCACAAATCTGAATTAAAAAAATGTCCTATAAAAATCTTGAGATAAAACCATATGACTTAGTTCATTCCAATTCTCTACAAGAAATATTCTTAAAAGACTATACATCAAGAGTTATAAGCGTGTCAATTTTTTCTCCAAATACTTATCACTACTTTCATCAGGATATAAAAATTTTTCAAAAACGGTGCTGGTAGTCTGACAATAACTGCAAAATCTTCCAATCACATTTATTTTGATATTCAAATTGAAATAAAAAATAAAGCAATAAAAGACAGTTACACAGGCAGTGCTAATTCTACATAATACTTGTACATAGTAAAGTCGAGCAAAGATATTTTACATCCAAATCCAATTAAAACCATAACACAAGCAGCCTACTTTATTTTTAGGTACTATAAACAGTAATAAACAGAATAAGTTAAGCTTTAGATTCTATTTATTTTGACCAGGAATGAAGTGAACTGCTCATGTTATGTTTTGCACTGAAATATAGATGCAGAACTATATACAGTACATATGATTTTATATTGTGATGTTTATCAGGACATTCAATTAGATATAGATTCTATTAACACGAGATATACAGACAATAGACAATTATCAACATAACATAAAACATACATTATACAAATAACATTGGACAATACACGGATGATGGACAAAGAATGAATGAACACATTGTACATGATAGAATGATATTTTCAACATTTTCTATTATATCATTAGAAAAGACACCTCTTGTCAAATGATACATTTATAATGATTTATCTAGGGTAGTTCCTTGGGAAATATGAATTGTGCTCAAATGTTTTCTAATCAATATGACAGTATAGTACATAAATTATTCAGAGAATTATCATAAAGGTCAGAGTTATTTCCCTTCCACTGCAAGACAAATTTTCAATAAGAATTTTGGAACCTTATTTTCAGCATAAGGCTTGATTTATTCTAATTTCAAAGTTAAAGGATTTAAAAAATGACAAGAGGCAGTGATTGCTGCTTAATTACATTTTATCTTGGAAGTGATTCTATTGCTATCTGATCATAATGTAGGCCTATCATAAATATTTATTTTAAAATGATAGCTATATTTTTGTAGATTTATGGTTGTTTTTGTTTGTGTTTGGTACACATCTTGTGTTATGTCAATAAATAATAGATTCAACCTAGAAAATAAAGGGAAAGTATATTTAATTACAGTATAAGGTCAAATCTGGCTGCAGGAACTGTTCCGAAAAAGCTGTTTTAAATGACAGCATGGTAACCATGGAAACTGATAGAATATTTCCACAAGATCAATATAAGATATTCCAGTTGACTGGCTGTTGCTATTGACAACCCACCATGTTAAATAATGCCTGTTTCTTCAAGTTGGGACCAAAATATTTTCTACTCCTGTCTTGTCATCTATGAACATTGATTTCTCGTCAATTTTTGATTTGTAATATGACAGAGATTCAAATTGTTACAAAACTATGACATTTTTCTGTATCTGCTACTTAAAAATAATCATGCATTTAGAACATCCAATACAACCAAGTCTATTTCTTTACAAGAGATCTTCATTAACAAGTCTGACTTATATCCTGAATTTAACCTATGCATAATGTAAGCATATGACACGAAATATCACAATCCTATCCATCTCATGCATTATGTATCTATCAACTGGTTGAATGTGCCAAAAGTAGAAAAAAAAAGACTACAAAAGAGATATGTATCATTGTATCTTTATCCTTGCTTTACAATGTAAGCACAGATCAAAAATATCTATATAGCTCCAAGATCAAATAATAACTTTACTATGTAATGTGCAATATTGATATCTTATTTATCAATTCTCCATGAAATTTTTAGACTCAAAATTTAATTCAGTAGAAGCTGCTATAGATTCAATCATAAATTCCTCAGTTTTGTATGAAAATGGAGTTACAGATAAAGTCAACATACTTTATAAATTAAAATTTGCAAGTGTTGCTGTAGAAGATTTACTAAATATGTTTTTGTATTTGTAAGGTGTAAGATTTAAAACTAGTAATGGTTAGGAACACAGAAAAACCAAATCAGTTATAACCGATCAATACTAAATTTAGTTTTATTTGAAAATAAGAGACTTGTTGCTGCACTAAAACACAGTGGTTTCCTAATAATAACTACTATCATTATTATTCTATGATATAACATAGTATTTATGGTAATGAACTAGTTAAGATCACCTTTCATACAATACTAGGCCAATCTTATTGATTTTCTCTTGTCTTTGATTCCACATAATTAGATAACTCTTTGCAGTGGTATTTTTCTGGCTCAAAGAATTCAACTACATACAATTTATTATTTAGAATTACTCATAGCACTGATCGAGACAGACTCTCTAGTTTTAGAAAATATATATGGTGGTCAAATTCTCATTAACTTTTAATGTTAAAAAACTTCCAACAGAATGAAAATAAAAGAGCCATTAAACTAAGATCTAACTTAGATGAAAAGCTAATCTTGTGAATTTCTAGAATATAAAGAATATTAGGAGTAGTTTGAGTTTCCTGACTTGTAGCCGCAGATTGAATAGAAATTATGTAAATTGAAATGTGATAGAGAACAATATCGTTGAATTCACCCAACATTGCCACGTTGTGGGAACTATTGATTTTCTGCCTTCTAGAGAAAAGACAGAAGTGAGAAGGTAGAATTAGTCATGAAAATTAAACACTTATTTTACTACAACACTCACACAGTCTGTCTTACATAAATAAATAACAAATATTGACTGGTAACAATCTTTACTAATGTAATAACTTGCACTGGTAACAATCTTTACTAATGTAATAACTTGCACTGGTAACAATCTTTACTAATGTAATAACTTGCACTGGTAACAATCAATAATTTCTGCTGCTAACAATCTTTACTAATGTAATAATATGACACCAATGCTGATAAGTAATAATCTTTACTAGTGTAATCATTTGAGACAAATACTAACTTTACTACTGTAATCACTAGTGCTGGTATCAATCTTTACTTCTGTAATAACTTGAGATATATACTGACTGGTAACAATCTTTACTAATGTAATAATTTGAGACAAATGCTGATTAGTAATAATCTTTACTACTGTAATCACTAGCGCTGGTATCAATCTTTACTTCTGTAATAACTTGAGATATATACTGACTGGTAACAATCATTACTAATGTAATAATTTGAGACAAATGCTGATTAGAAAAAAATCTTTACTAGTGTAATCATTCGAGACAAATACTGACTGGTAATAATCTTTACTATTGTAATCACTAGTGCTGGTATCAATCTTTACTTCTGTAATAACTTGAGATATATACTGACTGGTAACAATCTTTACTAATGTAATAATTTGAGACAAATGCTGATTAGTAATAATCTTTACTACTGTAATCACTAGCGCTGGTATCAATCTTTACTTCTGTAATAACTTGAGATATATACTGACTGGTAACAATCATTACTAATGTAATAATTTGAGACAAATGCTGATTAGAAAAAAATCTTTACTAGTGTAATCATTCGAGACAAATACTGACTGGTAATAATCTTTACTATTGTAATCACTAGTGCTGGTATCAATCTTTACTTCTGTCATAACTTTAGATATATACTGACTGGTAACAATCATTACTAGTGTAATAACTTGTGCTGGTAACAATCTTCACTAGTGTAATAACTTGAGACAAATACTGACCAGTAACAATCTTTACTAAAGTAATAACTGGTAAATACTGGTAAGATGTTGTCAAAGGTTGCTTACAGGATATTTCTTTTTATGTACTAGCATAAAATTTAATTGGTTTATATATTCCAAACACTGGTGAGAATCTTAACAATCACATTCCAAGATAAAATGTTTTATTTCATGTGCCTTGCATCTCCAACTATAGTAAGAGGAAGCAATCATGAGGATGCTTACATATTGTGTAAATGATTTACTAGCATTATGACATGAATTCCTGATAATAACAAAATAGTAATAAATGAAATGAGACTCACCTGTGTCTGCCATTTTTCTAAAAACTTGTAAGGTTGCATTAGCCCTGGCTTCCCCAAGACCATTATCAGCCACGCATGTAAACACGGCATCGTCTTTTTTGGATTTGACAGGATCTATCCTTAACACAGTTAAATGTGGACTTTCTTCTATAATATATCTGTTTCTACGTGGATTTATTTTTCTGTTCCCTTTCTCCCAATGGAATGATGGCGCTGGGTTTCCTGATGCTTTACAGAAGAATGAAACTTTTTCATCTTCTAAAACTTTTTGATTCTTTGGTTGTTGGGTTATTCGTGGAGGATCTACAAAATAAAGAAAAATATTCTCAAAAACAGTTCAAAAAAAGTCTCAAGCAAGTTACACAGGGCCTCTTAAATATAATTATAGAATAAAGAGAGAAGTCACATCAAAGGGGTAAAAGAGCAGCTACAAAATTAAATTTACTAAAATAACAACTAAATAAATCAAAAGTAACAAGTGCCAGTAACTAGGGAAAAGTAACAAGTACCGGTAACTAATTACAATGGAATCAACTGAAAGTATTCAAAAATGAAATGAAATATTAGAAGGGAATAACACATGAACACCAAAAAGACTAAATAACCTCTGAAAGAGAAAACAATAAATTAGATAGTAAAATTTGAATGTCAGTACCCGATATCACTTGCACCAGGTTCATAACCTTTAAACAACTATAATTGTCAAATTTAAACATCAAATTGTCTAAATATATCAAATGTTATACGACACTTTTCATTTTAACAGAGATTATCTAACCTTTAATATTTTCAAAATATTTATCAGGGAACAAACAAAATAAATAACAACAAAAGAGAGCAGGGCACAAACAGTTCCAATTTTTTTTACGAATTTCTACCACAAATAATTTTTGCGTGGTTATTTCAGGCCCCAGGGCCACAAAATATTTTTCTTGCTGAGCTTAGTTTTTAGTCAAATTCATGATGTACCTCGCATCAAGATATGGTAAAATTTTAAGATTAATGTGATAATGCCAGAAACATTATGTTCTAAGGAATAAATTTATATATTTTTTTGCTTTAATTTCATCAGTAAATAACCTGTAAACTCCTTCCAATTTGAGTAAAATCTTAGTTAGCTAAGTATGAAAAAAGGTTTGTAGCCCTGGGACCTGGACAAAGTGACATGCATTCTTTTAATTTTTAATTTAATGGATTGGGTTGTATTTCTAGAACAAAACAACAGTTATCATTTCAATGACATAATCCAGGTAATTTCAATATTCAAATTTTAAATTTCGTTTCACATGAAGTTAATTCAAATTTATAAATAAAATAAGGAAATATGATGATCAAAACATTTAATAACCATCGCAAAATCACGTAATCTCAATAGTTCATTTTCCCACAGTTTTGTTTACATTTTTTTTAACCTTTATTAGTTTTAAAAATGATGAATGTTTTATCAACTTCAAATAACTTCCTAAATTAAATAATAAACTTCAAATAGTTTGTCAACTGATTTTGAATATCATAACTTACTCTCTACATAGTCGATGTAGCGATAATTCAACGTTCTATTGGTCGGAACTGAAAAATGATTTTTATTGTTTAGCTAATGGTGATAAATAATGAATTAATAGTTTAAAGATTTAAATTTGTCCTTCCTAGTTCAAGGTCATAAGAATTACTGGATCATTGTTATACGTTTTAGGCTTTAAATTTCAAAACTGAAAATAAAGAAATCTCAGCAACATGAGAAATTCAAAAGACATATCACTTTATTCAAGTCAAATCAATTGCTTGTCATCTCTTCAAAGAATGTTTTTGTGTAAATTTATAAAACCATGCGGGAATGAAACTAACAATATTTTACTTTAATTGCTTCAATTTCTTTATCTACAATAGTTCTCTAAAAAGGTTTATATATTAATTCTATAATATTCTATATATTGTTAATACTTAACAATAAGACCTGTTTCACTTGGAAAAACATATTTAAACAAATTATTGTTGAATACTTATATTCATTTCATTACAAAACTTCTTGACTTATGCAGCATGTAATGTTCATGACATTTGAATACTGAAATTTATATTGTCCATAATATTTCTACAGATTCAGAACAAATACTTGAAAATTGACATCTATTGTCTAATCCATTTTGTAAAGATCTAAATGATAACTATCCAAAATAAAATATGTGGTAAAAAACTTTCCAGGTTTACAACAAAGTTTTGATGTAAAAAATGTAAAATATGAATCAATATGCATGTTAATTGTGAATAACAAGACAAACAAACAAACACTGAAGTCAAAAATGTCATGGTATGTTAGTTTGGGCAGAACAAACATGTACACTAACATAAAGAATTGAATATGAAACATGTCGAACATAAATCAAGTAATCAATCAAAGTCAGATCAGGTTTCATATCAACCAATCAATCAATATCATAAAGTCAATAAAGAATGTCAGTTCCTGATAATATTTTATACTTCAATCAAAATGACTCAACATTTCAGGTACAAAACCAAAAAACCAAACAAACCTTGCAAACTATCTCTATTACATTTTATTTTCAGGTTTCATTAGATCAAAGTTTAGAACTTTATTTTAATTTTGATAACTACTTATGGACAATGACGTCAATGGCATACTCAGTTGGTATTTTGATTGTGTTTATGCTTTGCATTTGACTAGATGTGCAAAGAAATGCAACAGTTTGAAGCAAGACCTTACTTTAAATTGCATGCATATTGGAAAACAAAATTGGAGCATCTGAGAAAAGATCTAACATCATGATCTATCAATGTTAAATTTTGTTCCCCTGAAGGCAAATTTAACAAAAACATAAACCAATATTAATTAAAATCTTAATCAATATTTATATTACATTTTAACATAATATTCTAATCTTTGTGGATTTGTTGTAACTAATTAATATGCATGATTGAAATATAATCCTAATTCAGTCAATGACAGATAAAATCATTTTAAACCAAATACAAATGTCACCTATAGGTTAGCCCAATGTTATTTCTCTGACTTAGACATTCCACAAAAGATTAATGCTAGATTTCCTACATTTAGCTCCATACCATCATAGAGCATACCGTGAACCAAGAGCATTCCATGGCTGGTTTCAAGAGCATAGCATGGCTGGTATCAAGAAGATACCATGGGACTATCATGACTGACTCCAAAAGCACATCGTGACTGGCATTAAGAACATATCAAGAGCATACAATGGCCGACTCCAAGAGCATACTATTGCTGGTAAACCATGGCAGGTACCAACAGCACAGCTGCCACCAAGAGCATACCAAAGCTGACTCCAAGAGCATACTAATGCTGGTAAACTATGGCAGGTACCAAGAACACAGCTGGCACCAGAAGCATACCATAGCTGGTACAAAAGTATATTGTGGCTGGTACAAAGAACAAATTGAATCGCTTTTCATGCCACAACATAGCAAGACCTAAGAACAGTCCATCTTCAAAACAATTACTAATATTAGACAAGCTGGTACTGCTATTTCACCATGATATTTGATACAAGAGTGTGTCTGCCCAATTTAAACTGTTTATTATATTCAAATTTCTATTGTGTGTAGTATTCTCATGTATTATGATAGCATATCAAATTTCAAATCAAGTTTAGACTAATACAAGATAAATTTGATTAGAAGATGACATTAATATTGTGTACTAATGGACCCATCAGAAAGCACTAGGACTGCATTATATTGACAGTGTGTAGAGTAATTTTACAACACGGGTGGTATGATAGTAAGAATATTAGTGCTAGAGTATAATGAAGAAATTCAATAGGGATAATATAATAGATAAATATTTAATTAGATTGATGAGACAGAAGTTAATAACTATTAACATCAATTACTCTAGTCTATTCTTTATTGTCATAATCTCTTTTTATTCTGTATTTTTTCACATTATTCACATTTCCTGTAAAATCTGAAGCTAAGGGCATGAGAGTGTATTTTTTTTCTACTTATTGCTGAAAATTTACAATTCACTCACAAAAATTCCTACGATGAACCCTTCAAGATCGTGACTAAAAATTTCGCCAGTGAATTTGATTGACATGTACAGGCGAAAATTAAGGCTTAGGTTCCCCTTGCATAACTGTTCTATTTCAAATTCTGATATCTAACCATCCATTCCGACAAATTTTTACATATAATTTATAGATAAAAAATATGGAATTCTCCGGTTAAAAGACCTTCCCAGAAAGTTTCAACACAAGAGGCGCTTTAAAATGAGTTATGGACATAAAATATTAAAGTAACCCCTTACATACTTGAGAAAAGTTATTTCAGACATAAAATTCTCTAAACAAAGAAAATAATTTCTATTTTGGTAACAATTTTTTTATATCTACGCATTATGAAACAGGAGTAATTCTTAAACCATGCGTAAAATTACGGTGAAATTAGGGTAAAATAAGGATAAATAATCCATCCTCTCCCACTATAATTATATTCAAACAATAAAACGTAAATCATGTGATAATTGTTAAATGTATAAAGACTGAGAATTTTCCTGTGATATTCAAACTGAATATTTTCTTTTCAGGCAAAACATAACAGTCAACTCATGAGATAACGAGAACCCAATCATCATTGGTTAAACTTTTTTTTAAGTGAAAAACTAATGGGTAAGAATTCCATAATCATGTGACATTTTGAATGACAGCTAGCTTTAGGTTCTAAGTAAGAACAGTGCTTCCTCCATCTTCTTTTATGAAAATATTAATTTATATGATCTCGGTCTTCAGTGATACGTACTGCAAATTTTTAATCCCTTAGAATCATGCAGAATAAACAAAATAGAAATTATCCTTATGGTCAAATGCAATAAGTGAAAAAATGAAGTTGATTTTCATGAATAGATATGTTGAAAGGATAGTTGACCTTTGTTATTATGGACACATGAACTTGTCAGAGGTCTGCCTAGTTTATGATGTTTGACATCAGCTTCTGTAAGTTAAAGAATGTGAAGAGATACAGATTGGAGGTTATTAAAGTGTTAAAGATTCTATTCCATCCCCTGTATTAAATATCACTGTAAAAGGAAATGAGTGTTTAATACAAAACAATAAGTGGAAACAATGTCCACATTTATAATAGCTTCTAGCAAATTATCATATCATATTCTTTATGGCTAAGGTCAGCTAGGGGTTAAACCCCCCAGATTAATTTCATATTTCACTAACAGGTACTTCAGCATGTTTATACACATATAAAACATATTTTATATTCAGATGAGATTTTAATATGGTCTATACATTGTTTTGG